TTTTGATCTACACAAGCAGTTATATGCTAATGCTCGTGCGAGCAGTACTACCATGTCCGAAGAAGGAGTCTACACGTCAAGTAAACAAGGAGCGCACCTTCAGTCGTTGCTTGTTTTTACTTTGCGTGGAAACATTCGCAGAGGATTCATACACACCCTTCGCTTTTGCCATCTCCTTTCGGACTCAGTAGTTGATCAAGCCGGTTAATCTCCTCATAGCCGATGAGTTCATTTAACAGCTGTTCTTGCTGTGAAGAACAGGTGCACTCTCCCACATTGTAGCAAATCTGACCTGGACCATGAAAGTTCTACGGGAGCCTCCTCGAAACCGTCATCGTTGCCGCCTTGTCCTGTTCGGCCTTCTTTGTATTCGGTCAGAATCCTGATAAACTATTAGAAAACGATCCTCTCCCTTCTATGAGTGGAGAATGGACTACTACAAGCGAATGAATTAGGCCTTTTCCGTGACTCAAAGGCATTTTCGTGATCATATAGGCGGGTCACTTGAATTATTGAGCTCTCTCCAACCTCTCCTTTTTGACTTCATAAAAGAGATGTGGATATCAGTGATGAGAGTGTATTTGTCTACATCCTTGTGATGACTGCGGAATGGGCCTTTCAGGAGGTGGGAAAAGCGCACTGAGAGTTATGCTGCTTGCGACGCCAGTTCGTCGCCGCAGTATCCTCCTCCGGATGTTCGTGATTGGCTGTTGTCGCTGTCTTTTGTTTCCCTTCTGTCTAGGCGTTTCCTTTCTTTGGAACCATATGCAGTGGTGTAGGGGGGGGGGAGGTTCATTCTGTCAGCTTTCTACTGTGAGTTCACCTCTCTCTCCCTTCTACTATCCTCCATTTTCCTACCAGTAAGGCACCCGTCTGAGACCTCACAAGCCATTCTAGGTGGCTTTCCAAGCAGCTGGCATACATGGTAAGCTCAAGCCTTTTCAACATTATACATACTTACTCTAGACCTCAGTATTCGTTTTATTCCCCATTGTTTGTCCTGCCGAACTTTTCCCGGTCGTTTTTTTCACGCTAAGCGGAATGAGATCCAGGCTGCCTAAACCTCCACAGTATAATGCGCTCTTGAATGGATTAATTAGACACGAGGAGAAAAAGCATCACACACAAGACCCGACGAATGTTTTTTCTTTAATTATTGAACATTTTTCTTCCACTGGAATGTTTTCCGCCTGCGAGGAAAATGCTTCTTCTGTCATTTCCAGGGCGATTTTCACAAAAGCGCGTCCATCTGCTTCCGAGCCAAATAATAACTCGCTGGATTACCCTTTTTTCCCCGTTGCTCAAGTCTTCTCAAGCAGATTTGTCCGGAACTGACGAAGTCTCATAAAGGTAATATTTCAATCGCATATTCTATTAGAGATGTGTGCCTCGGGCGCTGAATGCATCGGGGAGGGGTCGCTCTCTAGGAGCATTGAGTCACGTCACGTCTGCTCGTCTGCGCTCTCTCACAAAGACAGCGTGACATTGACTGACATGGCTTTGACACGCTTTGAGAATTATGCCATCCACTCACTGCATTTTCAAAGCTCAAAGAAAACGACGTGATTCAGTCGTGTCAGAACCTGGTGTAGGTAGCTGTGTTGTGCCCCCCCCCAGGCACATGGCTCTACACCAGGAATTCTTTTATTTTTGTCCTCATAGCTAGAGCTTTCATCCCCGTGGCCGAATTGTGCGAGAAAAACCTGGAAGTTGAGTACACTGGCCATTTCATTTACTTGCCGTACACATGCCGTGGGGAAGTCCATCACTGAAATGAACACTGAAATGGCTCCAGTTTAAAGAGAAATCAAATGTACAGCCCTTCTCAGAAATCTACTGCTCGCCTCCACCACTTCGCTATTCACTGTTACCGTACGTATTCCTATTAGACTAAGAAACAACATTCCTGTACCTGAGAGGGTTTTTCCACGGAGACAGATTAGATTCGATCTCAATACAAACAAACTTTGAGAATATTGCGAGATCGCGCTAGTACCCGTTTTCCATACTTTGCTGCCATGAATTTCCATAGTGTTGTATGAAATCTGAGCTGGGTTTGGTGGGCGTAAGCCCGTTTTCCACCAGTTTGCCGCTCGCCCGCTCAAAGACGCGGTGAGAAGCTGGCTGGCGGCGCCAAACCAAGACGTTTGCGAGTTGGTCAGCGCTCAAAACTTTGTCCTTTTGGTCTCGAATGCGCCAGGATAGATAGATAAAGTAATATTTTCAGGTCAACTGAAAAGTGTCATTCTGCCAAATCTCACACATGTCATACTTGCAGAAGAGGATCATCGCCATAGGTGAGAATAGACGTGGATTTTTACGTTAGAAATAATGTGGAAAAAGCTCTCTGAAGAGCATCAGAAGGCCTGCCATTTGGACAACCTCGCTACTACTCATGACTCATCCATTGCTCTAAGAAGTGGGGAGAGGAGGGGAGAGTTTACCACGTCGATTGCGGTGACATTCCGAGTAATACATATGACTAGACGAATACTAGTACCTTTTGTGGAGTAATCCATTGAAGCAAAGTTGTCTTCTCCCGCCCACTTTCTCTTCAGCACCTAGGGGAGCTCGCTTACGAACCACCATTCCAGGAAATGGGCTCGCAGCGCACCGATCAAGGTATTATGCGAACTTTTCGCCCAGCAAGTTTTTCAGTGCCTGTATGTCATGAACTATGTTCATGATGCGAGTCTCTAATCCCCGCCCTCGCGGGGGAGGCAGGAAATCAGGCGTGGGGAACGCCCTCTAGTCAGTCGGAGATATACGTCCAGAACAGAGCGTAGTCGGTCAGCGTCAGCTCGCATCGAGGATTCCCAGGAGTGGAGTGGGAGATCGAGCACTATTTAGAAGAGGGCGGACCCGCAGAGGTTGGGAGAAGGGACCCAACGGCCGAGGAAACAGAGCTTCAATCTCAAGTAGTCAAGAAGCCAAACCCAGTCAAAATTCTTGTCAAAGAACTTCAAGTGAGCAGTCAAAGTTGTAGTCCGTGTGTTAATTCTATTGAGATTGGTCTAGTAGTAAGTGTAAAATAAATACGTGTTTCTAAGTTGTTGTGTAATATTGTAAGAACCACCAAAACCACATCTGAGGAATGATGCCCCTCAGAACACCGTAGAGTTTGTCATAAAGCTTCCCACGAAGTGGATATTTGACCATTTACACAGGCATTGAATCTTTCTATAAGATTTTCAACGAAAAAGCGCCATCACTTAGAGGAGGGCAAGTTCCTCAGAAAGGAACTCGATTGGCTATGAATTTCAGTTTTCGATTTGGAAAGGTGACGAAAAACAGCTTGAGCTTATCAATAAACAACTCACAGTCAGCTGATCGCTGTCTTATGGTTGTAAGCTTCGGGCTACTATGGCCAAACTTTGGTCGGTCGGGGATTACGACTACCCCTTGGTACACCTGAGCACCTCACTGGGTTTCAAAACAAGTTAGCCGACCTGAGTTTAGGGATTCTCCCAGGGGACCATAACCAGGCCTCAAGAGGACAAACTGAGAAAGAATTTTTTTTAGAGGAAAAAAAAAAAAAAAAAATTTGATAGGAGAAGTCCAGTGAATTTTTTTTGAAGGCAGATCGCCTCTCCATCCCTCGACACATGCGACCCCTGATTGACTTCTTCCAATGGACGCTGCACCCTAGTTGGCCAAAAGTCAAATCAGCTAAAGTTGTTGAACGCCGCGCTACCAACAGAGAGATACAGATATTAGTATAGCCTTGTTACTGCAGATGCCGGCGCACGGAGGCGGTGGGGGAAGAGGACGCTGAGCTTGGCAAGGCGCCAACTCGTTTCCCACCAATTGCTGTGGTTTGCTGCGCTTTCAAAAGCTTTTCTCATGCGTCGCTCATCATCAAGAACTAATTTTAGCTATTTATTGGATCTGAGTTTTTGCTTAACTGCTCAATTCAAAACAAATTGATATTTCAGTGGATGTTATACGCTGTCTGAAGTGTTTGGCCGATCGTCAAAAGAAAAAATTGAAAAATTGCCAAACTATGCAAACTGGAGCAGTCATAAACTTGCATGTCTTCAGTTCACCATGGTAATCATATAATTACTTTTCCATCATTAGGTTACTTGCCTGTGCTTTTCAGTAACTAGACCGGTATTTCAGGGCACAACATCCGAACCAAAGTTGGTCGCCATTTCGCATTTTCAACTACTCAATGGTGCTCGTGCAGTAGTAACGTCATTCGGGATCAAGAAAGACGTGAGGACATCTCTTTTAGAGCATAGACTATGTAGAAGGTCGCAGTTAATATGCTTTCTCTAAACTGAGGTTTGAACTCGGAGGGTTCGAGAAAGCACATGCTCCCCACGGGTCTACGGACAACTAAAACTCAATCCCTTTAATGGCGCCAACTTTCTTGTTTTTCTCTGCGCTCTCTTGCCTGAATGGCGATTTATGGCCACTTTGACCTTTCACATTCCAACTTTTCACGCATACTAAGTGGCTCATCCACCCCGGTGTCCCCTCCCTTCGAAAAAGCTCATCTCTGG